GGCATGTACTTCTCTCTTCTTAGGACCAACATAATCATCACCCACTACAGCTTGCACACAATGAATACTCAATAAATACAATAAAGATCTCCATTTTCTACAGAATGTACCCAAATAAAATAAAATGAAAAATTAAGTAAATAAAGTACCTCCATAAATAATACGTGTTTTAGAAGCAACTTCTGCTGAGACATTATTTTTAAGCCAATCACGACAAGCTGCATGTACTTCCTGAGCCTGCACTGGTGTGGCCACTTTACCAGTTCCAATAGCCCATACAGGCTCATATGCAACAACGACATTATCCCAACTGGGAACAGCATCTGCACATGATAGACATAACCACAGTATGGCTTCAGTCCTTTTCTTTTCACAATGTCATCCAGCATTGACTGCATATTAATGAGAAAAGAAACATCGGCAAGAAAATCACCTGCAAAAGCCTTGAGTTGCTGAAAACAGACATCAAAAGTTTTTCCTGCTTCTCTTTCTTCTAACTTTTCTCCAACACAAGCAATGACACCGAGACCCTCACTCAAGGCATAAGCAGCTTTCTTTCCTATAAACTGAAATTAACAAAGCTAGTCAAATTCTGAATGTGGTACAACAATAGGAACAAAAAAAAAAAAAAAAAAAAAAACAAATGATCTGCTATCAGAAAACTCTGAACCACTAAATTTTAGAAGCTTCACCTGATCATCCTCACCAATAACATGTCTACGCTCAGAATGCCCAAGAATAACCCACTTGCAGCCAGTATCTTTCAGTTGTTCCACACTACAAAATGGATTATATAAATTACCTTGTAGAGACAGGCAGAAGTGCAACATAACTACCAAACCAACGATATTCCTATGAAAACACAAATGTGCCCAAGAAAATGGCAAATTACCTGATTTCTCCCGTAAATGCTCCTCCTTTTCCAACCCAAGAGTTCTGAGCTGATATCTCAATTCTATCTGTTAATGAATTCTTCACCTGATCAATGTACACAAAGGGCGGTGCTACAACAACATCTGTTAAACTCAAAAGAAAAATGAAATATTAGGACAGCTTGAAATGTCGATGGCACAAGTTAAATCTCCAACAAACTTTGAGATATCAAGGACACCACTTCCTGTGGAAATCCAGTGTCAACCTTTGCTGAAACAACATCCAGGTCAAACATCAGGTCCAACACTAAATGGAATTTCCAACTACATTCATTTAGAAAACAAGTAGAATCCAAAATATCATGCCTTTTAGTATAAGATTACAGTACTGGTTTCTGTTGAATTTCAAGGTCTGTAAGCTTCAATTCTCAACTAGTGAAAAGACTTCATGACACAAGTTTTTAAGAGAAACATAGCTGTATCAAGTACTTTTCCAAAGTCTTGCGACCTTCAGTGACCAGCAGATAAACACAAAAAAGATTCACTGATAGGACCCCAACTCATATTTACAAAAGGAATAAAAGGGCTACGTAGTGTGGGATTGCAAGCAGGAAAGTTTGTTAGCCACGATCATTCACCAACAAAAGCTTACAAGTAATATAAATTTGAAGACCAAAAAATTCATCTCACCAACATCAGCCTCCAACTTGGCACTGTTCAAGTCTGAAACAAGCTTGCTGATAGAGTCCTTTGTCCCATTCTGAAGAAAACGAAGAAGAAAATACTCAAATTTTTGAAGAACATGAAAACAAAAGAATTTGACATCTATTTGACTGCAGTCTAATAATGCAACATTAATTAGAAATTCAAATTATGCATAAGACAATAGGATATCATTGTCATTGTCAATGTAAACATGCAACAGAAATGGTAACTCCAGATTTTAATAAGAAAACACAAAAAATAAAAAATAACAAAGGAACAAGATGCTCTATTTACAACAAATTAACAAAAACATAGCACAAAAACCAACATTGCAATAGGAACAAAATGAATCATAAGATCATTCAGAGATTGGTACTTACACACTTCCAATTCCCACCAACAAAGAACTGTAAACAGAAAAACAGAAGAGAATATGTTAATGAATAAAAAGATGTGACAAATCATTAATGCTACAACAAACGATCCAACAAATTTCAAAAGCTATTAAAAAAAAGTAATGACAGTGCATTTGGATGTACTTTTTTCTCTTAGCCTATTTTGCAATGTTTGGCTGAAATAGACAAAATCGCAGTTGAAGACCAGAGAGTAGAGATGCACTAGGATAGTACTTCTAAAACTTGTGCTTTAGCGCGAAGCTATGAGACTCCCAACCAGAAGTGCTTCCTACTAAAGCACTTCCAAGTGCTCACACACAAATAGACTAAGCATCAGATAAAGTAATATTTTTTAATTCAACAAACTCCGAAACACAAGTATTTCATAATCTTAAACGCACTATAGCTAGATCTATACGTTTAAATTTAAAAAATAAAATTAATGAAGTACCTTGTTATTGCTGGCCATGGCGACGACGGCGCGGGAAGGTTTCCGAGAAGAGACAAAACGTAGGTGAGAGTTCACGTGTTGAGAGAAGGATTGAGAGTGAGAGTTTTCGAGCTTCGACGGAGATGATCGGCGTAGGCCGGTGAACTGAGGGCAGTGAGTGGAGACCATTGAAGCCATAGTGAACTCGACTACTGAACTCAGCTGAACTCGGTGTTTGCGTTTTGGAGAGTGATACGAGAGAAGGGTTAATAAGTTTTGTTGTGGTGGTAGTTGTGTACTTGTGTTACTTTCTACGGTGTAATCGAAGGCTCGGAAGGAGAAGGAAGAAGGGTTCACGCGATTTCAGGGGTAGTGAGGTTCACGGTAGACGAATTTGTTTTTGATAAATTTACAAGTCTCATTTTTAGATAAAATTACAATATTATGGAAAGATGTTAATTTATTTACCAAAAATAATTAAAAAAATAAAATAATACTGCACTAACATTAACTTTCAAATAAAATTTCAAGATTTCAGGCACTTTTAAATAGTTTTAATATCCAAGTATAAAGGATAATTCAGATAATTGCAGATTTTTATTTATTTTATTTATTTGGCATAATAGCATTTTTAAGCGGAGAGTGTATTTACGCGCTTGAAAGGCGCTGGGTTTAAAAATTACTCTGACAAAATATATTAAAACTTTCACGGTTGTAGTTGTCGCTGTCGTTCAACGAGAACACACGTTGGCGAAGTAAATTTTTGACGAACAAGTGATAACGACGCCGTTTAACTGCCATTCCCACTTAAGAAACGACGTCATTTCATCCTTGCCTCGCACTTGATTCTGTTTTGTTTTGCTCTACCGGTAGGATAATATTCAGGATCTTTATCCTTCTGCCACGTGGTTGACAAGAAAATGCACAAGATGGATAAAGTGTTTTGAGGTCTTGATGAATCTGTGGTGACGAGCTTAGGACACCGTACACGTGGATTACCTTTAATCTCAAGCACAAATCTAGCAATTCAAAGCACTAAAAAGGAATAATCAGAACTGTCAATTTTCATAATGCTGTAGAGAAATTTTACAACAACCGGGTCCCAGTCATCTGACATGTAGATAAACCTAACTTGCTTATCAACCTTTGGGACAAAGCATCAGCCGTTTGATCAGTGGGTAGCCACCCACCTAATCAATGACAGAAAAAGCTTGTATACTGATTGATTATGATATAGGAAAATCAATGGGTTAATTCCAACAGCCAACCTGAACTGAAACCTAGATACTGAATTTGGGGTTATGAACTTATGATACAGGCCACCCCTGATGTTTGGAAAATTATGCAAAAACAACCCTTTTGTCCGATGTGTCAATTTTTCCATCACTTAAAAAGTACAAGTCCACCAATTTACTCACTTTATAAATATTTGGTTTCATTTATAAATTGAGTGAATTGGCAAACTTGCCCTTTCTAAGTCACGGAAAATTTGACGTCTGAGATATAAGGGTGGTTTTTGACAATTTTCCAAACATCAGGGGTGCTCTGTAACCCAAACTTGGCATCTAGTTTGACAAAACTAAAACCTCAGGGGTGGTAGTGCAATTAAGCCGAAAATCAATTTACAATTCTATAATTCCAGCCTCCAGGATCGAAAGCAGCGACAGGTCAAAGGGTCAAAATCTGCTAACCTTTCATTCAAATTCAGCAGAATACGGCAATGCAATGGTCTAGGAAACACAAACAGGAAAATGGTTATGACGGTTGAGAAAATGAGATCACATTACAGTTCAGTTTTGTTTTCTTGCAACAGTTTTGATGAACAAAAGCCAAAGTGACACAATGGCATCCAAAACTATCTTGGTTTAATTTGGATCCTCGATTAGTGTAACACTACGAGGATAAATTGATTGAATGTGTCCTGCACACTACAACAGATATGACACATAAACCAAGAGAATTTGGGGACAACAAAATCTGGTAAAAAGCCAAAGTCTTTTAATTGAATAGAAAATCTCACCTATCAATTTACCATTTGCTTGTAAAATAAAAGAGGGGAGGGGGTAAATCACACCTGCTAGGCACATACCAACCACAGGAGATTGAGCTTAAGATCTGGTAGATTCATTGCAATCCTTGTCAGTATCTAAAACAATTGCTACTATTGGACATTTTAATATATCAAATAATCCATTTACAAGTCACCCCCAAGTCATTTTCAACATTCAATTCCTTTGGATGATCTCAGTGGTCTTTCTTGGAAACTAATTTACAACCCTATCCATGACAAATCTGCACATTCTACCATTCATGTTTTGAAACCTTAAACTAGGTCGGAGGATCATAGCTTCGATGATTAAATTCAAATGAGTAAATAACAGATACGAGACATCAAGAAACTGGCAACTTCAGTTCATGCTCTATGGATGCTAGACATTAAGAAACTATGCAGTATCATAAATGAGATACCAGAGCAATAAACATATTTTGTCCAAGGTGCAGTGCAATACATTTATCTTCACAAGAAATGAAGTTAGTAGTCAAGCGTTATCCTTGGTCGACTCCCTAGATATACACAACACCCAGTTGCTTTAAATATTTACCACGCAATACAAAAGTTATTGATTGATCCACACACCCAACGTAAGAGTTACAGTTTGTTAAAAATTATTACTACAATTTACAACTAGAACTACAAACCTAATTTGTTAACATAATAGAAAATTTTGAAGATATTAACCTACAGTCTAAGTGTTTGTCCAATCAAACATTAGAAAAATTCCTACTCTGACATCTATATTTTGCCCCAAGAACAAACTAAAGCTGCCAACGTTATATTCCTGACAACAACAAGCTCTCACTTATATTAGCGTTAGCATGTTCCTCACCAAGAAAAAGAGGACAATGAGCCTCATACACCTTCCACACAGCCTTCACAAAGTAAGAATTGGAGATGCCCACCAAAGCCCAATCTCAGAATTGCTTATGATAGCAAAAGAATTCTGCACTCTGCGCATTTTAGGTGATTCAGTTTATAGATAAGTTAATATATATTAAAACAACCCAGTACATTGAATTAAGCAAATTCAGAACATACACACTATACAGATAATTAACAAGTAAAAAAAAAATGCTAAATATGCACGAAGCTGGATAAAATACCTGCTCCTCTCGTGCTTTTTAACTTTTTGCCCCTTCTGAGTCATCAGGCTTTCTGCCACCAACTATGCTATTGGATGAGCTATCTTGTAAGCTCCGAGATGAAGAACACCTACTTGAAGAACTGCCATCTGTAACGTTACTTTCCTTCCTTAGAGACTTCTTGGATTTTCTTTGTCCGGAGGACAAATCCTAGAAAAAGGAATATTTCAATCAACTGTTCAATCTGGAAATTATTTGTAAAGAGTTCACAAGGTATCAACTGACCTGATCTGTAGTTGATCCAGGAGTTTTCAGCTCAAGGTCGGTCATGACATCGTTAGAATCCTCATTTTTCTCAATCTTGCTCTCCCCAGATGATTTGTTTCCAGAATCTTGTTTACCTGACACATGAGACCTACTGCCTGACTGCACAACTGGAGATACATATTGTGTTGACTGCTGTTCAACCACTGAATTAGGAGCCATATATGGTACAAACGTTGAACAAGGGTTAGGAATGACCCCAGGATTCTGATTTCCAAAGATGGGGTATGGTTGCATTGATGGATGCATGGGAATTGGCCCTGGAGGCATTGGCATTGGCATAGGGAATGGATAAGTAGGTGGGGCCATGACAACTGAATGATCCATAGCAGCCCATGGGACCATTGCCCTGAGTCTTTGCTGATACTGAGTGGTAAGATTCTCGATATCAGATCTAAGAGACGCCTTCTCTTCTCTAAGATCATTTTTCTCCTGTGTCAACTGCTCTTCAACAAAAAAAAGTAACTCATTAAAGGGGATTTCAAATCTCAGCATCACCCACAGAGTAGAACAAATTAAAAGACCACCTCACGGGATTCTTCTGTCAGTGTCGTATACTCCGCTTTGAGTTTATCGACTTGAGATGTTAGATCCTTCAACAACTGAATTGTATCAGCTAGAATGGTTGCTTTGTCGTTTTTGGGCCTATCGGGATCTACATTTCATAAAATCACATAAAACCTGGACATTAATGCGCCATCTAAACATCAAAATGATTTCAGAATCATGCACTCAAACAAAGTCATACTCCACGACAAACTTGGCTTTAGACTCAGTATTTCTGTACAGGACTTTTACTATATCAGGCCAAACTAACTGGTTAACAGAATTAGATAAACTAGATTTTAAAGCTTCACCCTTACAGCTTTCACCAGCTGAACAGACTATTTAGCAAGTACTGAAGCCAAATTATAAGGTACACGGTACACACCCCAAAGCATTATCAAAAGAAATTATGTTAGACCATTCTAAGGTAAAACATTATTTAAATATATTCAAAAAGTTAATAAATTACTCGCAAAATATCATTAAAAACATTCAACTTCACCTAAAGTGCTCCCCAATTCTGTAAAATGTTCATTAAGCCGATCCCTCCTCAACCTCTCACGATCAGCCTTCTGAATTTTTCTCGCAGCAACGCAATCCTTAATTTCACCTTCAGGCCTTTGACTACAAAAAGCAAACCAAAAGCTCCATAGGAATTAATTAAACAGAGGAGCAATCCATCCATCAATCAATTCAACAGAACAAAATTAAACCTGGATTTAGGTTGGGGGTGAGTGGCGGGGACGCGCGGATCAGGAGGCTGAGGTTGACGAAACTCTATGAGGGCGGGATTTGGCGCCGCCATCGATTGAACAAAGGCGGCTTCGTTTTTGAGCTGATGATGATGGTCCATGGTTTGGCGAGTGGTGTTAAATGGAAATTTGTTGAGAACACGATTACGAAGCTTATCTGGATACCTCCTGTGCGATCTATGAGACGTCGTTTTATGCCTATTTTTCCGAGTTTTTTTTTTTATTTTTTTTTATTTGTAAAACATAAACAATGTTATTTGGTTTTGGTAATAATCTACCAGCTTGGAGCTGATGTTATCCCACTAAAACTAGTAGGACCCTTCAGTAATGCTCAGTGGAGTTGGGCTTCTAACAATTTCCTCCTCGAAATTTGAGGAAAATAAAAGAACACTCAAAGGGTTCGGAAAGTAACAAATGTACCCAAAATTTTGATTACTTTACCATAATACCTTTTAAGTTTTCTCTATTTATATATTTTTTCATTTTTCATTTCTTTAATTTTTATATAGTTAAAATAAACAGTGAAGATATATATTAAAAAAATATTTAATTAGACAAAGTTTATTATTAGGGGTCGATGCCTGCCCAAATTCAAAGAAATTGAAACTAGAACCGGTCGATTCCGTGAATTTGGAACTGGAATCAGGACTGGCTGGTTCCGATTCCTATAAGCCAGGAACTGGAACCTAAAACATCGGTTTTGATTCCGATTCTGGGTATCCGAGTTAATTTTAGTTACCCTTAATTTTATAAAAATGACAAATAAACCCTTAAAAAACTACAAATAAGCGCTCAATAATTTACAAAAATTACAATTCAATCTCGATTCCTACTTGGTTACTAGGATATCGTTTCCGATTCCCGGTTCCTACAGGGTGGAACTGAAACCGGTCAGTTCCTGATTTTTGGAACCAAAACCTACTCTATAAGGGCCAGTTCAGGGTAGGAACCGAAACCCTGGATACCCACCAATTTTTTTGCACACCCATGGTTATTATAATCTTTATTAGTAAATTCATCAAAATTTTGTTGCATTGGTTATTTTCCCCGACCCTTGAGGAGGAAATTGTTTTAAACCCTACTGGAGTTTTATCTATAATTTTAGAAGTATTTATAATTGAAAAATGAAATTCAAATGTAATTTTGGTAATTAAAATTGTATTAGCTTATTTAATTAATTAATTAAAATAATGTAATTGGGCCAATGGGTTAGCCCGGCCCACCTAAAATACCACGGATTTATTTCTTTGGCGGTTTAAAAAGTGGCACTTCCAATTTTTTTAAAGACAAAGGAAAGGAGTGCTTTGCTCGAAATTTGAGTGGAAAAAGAGAACAGAGAAACCAAAAATGTCGGGTATGGGAGACGGGTACGTGGGCACGGCCCAAGACGCCGTGAGGATCCGACGGCTCGAGAAGCAAAGAGAAGCCGAGCGACGCAAAATCCAAGAGCTCAAAACCAAGTCCGCCTCCGACAAGGGCCAACCCGGTCTACTTCAGTTCGGGTCAAGTACTTCTGAGGTCCGTGTTCAATTAAAATCTTCCTCTAGGGTTTCTTCAATTATCGTGTTGTTTATTGTTATTGATTTTAGTTCGTTATTACAGATTCTTGAAACAGCATTTAAGAAGGAAACTGTTGGTTTAGTCACCAGAGAAGAATATGTTGAGAAGGTAATGAATTTCATAATTTTGATTGGACTGGCTTTTTTTGTTGGAGGTATTAATGTAGTTTTGTTTAAATAGAGGGTCAATATTCGGAATAAAATCGAAGAGGAAGAGAAGGAGAAGCTTCAAAAACTACAACAAGAGTGAGTTAAAATTTTGGAATTTTTTTTTGTTTGAATTTTGTATTTTTGTTTTTTCATCTTGGTGACCCTTTTATTTATTTATAAATGTTTTTACCCTATTGTAGAGAGGAGGAATTGCAATTGCAAAAACGTAAAAAGCGGAAGATTAGGGGAAGTTCTCGATTATCTTTTGCCGAGGATATTGGGAGTGATAGTGAAGAGGAGAGTGATGAATATAGTGAGTATATTTTTTTCTGAAGATGTTTCGAAGTCTTGAAATACTGGTATTTTACAATTTGATTCCACTAAGACTTTCATACAATTATAGTTTAACTATGGATAAGTAATCTCTGACCTTTATCTTAACCAACAACTTTGCATGCTGGATTAAGGAAGCTGTTATATAACTTTTGGAATATGGTTGTTACGTTTGTCTTAGAAGCCATGTGACATAGTAATGGTCTTTGGGTCTCCTTGAGAGGTGATTCAGATTGCATTTGCATCTTAGGAGACATGTGAAGCAGTTTGGTTGGGTCCAATTTATGGTTGCTTGATATATAGTCATTTTAACTTGTTGAGAATGATTGTTTGACATTCAAAGCATTTGATCAATCTAGAGGAAGGGAAATTTTCTAGAAATAATAAATTATATTGCTCTATCTTGCATGCAAGAGATATATTTTTTCTATGATGTTATGCTTGACTTTGTTTTATCTTAACTTTCCGGAAGTGGATGTTTAGCATCAGATACTGCATTTCTGGTTCTTATAAATCCTGGCTTTTACTCCTCAATTTACTACTGGTAATACTGTCTTTATACTTTCTGCAGATAGAATTGAAACTAGGAAGTTTGGGCCTGGAAAATTTGGAAAAGATCCAACAGTGGAGACTAGCTTTTTACCTGACAGGTGCGATTTCTTTCTCACTATGTGTTCTTGTATTTGAAAGTGTGTGGCTCTTTCTGCTTTCTGTTGCACGTATGTGGAGCCTTGGGTCTAACATATTGGCATAGGGTTGCTGAGGATGCTCTTTCAGTGAGCGGGAGGCAGAGGAGCAAGCTGAGCGTGAAAGGCTGCGGAAACAGTGGCTTCGAGAGCAGGAGCAGATTCGAAGTAATCTTGTATTCTAAGCCTGTTTTATTTAATATTTAGATGTGGGAGAACACAAGTTTCTGAACCAAGTTTATTTTTGTTTCAGATGAGCCCCTTGAAATTACTTACAGTTACTGGGATGGAGCTGGCCATAGACGAGTGATCCAGGTTAGCAGAAGTTGTAGGACTTGTGTTTGATTGAGCTGTTTTATTTTTATATCTGCTAAAGTTCATGAACAAATTGCTTAGGTGCGAAAGGGGGATACGATTGGAGAATTTCTTCGAGGTGTTCAACAGCAACTTGCACCTGAGTTTCGAGAAATCCGAACAACATCAGTGGAGAATTTGCTTTATGTTAAAGAAGATCTTATAATTCCTCATGTGAGATATATTAAAATCAAGCTTTAATTACAGGGCTGCCTGACTATCTTAATTTCAAGTTAACTAATTTTTACACTTCTTTTCATGATTTGGGTTTTCAGCAACACAGTTTCTATGAGCTTATTGTCAACAAGGCAAGGGGCAAAAGTGGACCGGTAATGCTCAATTCTTTAGTTTTTCTGGTTGTAGTGGGTACAGTGTAATATTGCTGGCAATTTAATTGTTGTTCCATAACTTCCATCTAATTGCCAAGCTAAGGAAAAGTGGAAAGATTTGTGTTTTGCTTTGTTAATGTTTTGAGTATCTCAAGAATGATAAAATCTACTCAGGAAACCTTAAGTATCTGCATTATCTAAATGATCCATTGCTTAGGGAATCCTCAATATCTGTAGTCTGATTGATCCATTCCTCAGGGAAATCCTTATCGGTATAGAATGGTTGACCCATTCTCACTTTTCTCTGATTTGGATTTTTCTCTGTATTGGTTTACTAAAGGCCTTCTCTGGTTTTGAAATTACCATTGTTTCTCCACTTGATAAGATGTATAGAACTTGATGCTGATTATTATTTAACATGTTTCCGTTTGTTGTTTTTGAAACTATTATTCTAGTTAGAGTATGTCTCCTTGCATATTATAACTGGTCTAGCAAAGCACAATTCTTTTGTAAATGATCAAGAACCTGTTTTTATTCAATAAAATAGTTTTTTTTATTTTTTTTATTTGTAGATATATTAAGTTCTCTCCTGCTGCAATTCTTCTATTAAAAGATAACAATATTTGTTTTCTCCCTCTATTCAGATATCAAGTAGAGGTTACTAATAATTATGTGCTCTCTATTTATTTGACACAGCTTTTCCACTTTGACGTGCATGAGGATGTACGAACAATTGCTGATGCAACAATAGAAAAGGATGAGGTACATTTCTTTTCCAGATATTATCTCTATTTAATCTTGTAAACGTTTAAGATATTAACTTTTTTTGATTCTCGCGATAAGTGAAAGTTAGATAGCAATTTTATGGGCTAAATATAACATGATGCAATAATTGCTTTGGCTAAATCAAGTCAATGCAATACATTAAATAGTGTTCTGTGGCTTTGTGCTTATAACACATAATTAAAGTGCTCAGCACCCCAGCAATGTTGGGTTGTTTATTAGCCAAGCCAATGATTTTGTGATTGGCTTATCAAGACAGGCTTTGACCTGACTTAGAATTTCTGTTCAACCTTGATTTAAGTTATGCTGTCATGCAGCTAGTTACCTCCAAAAGTTTGAATAATTTCCCTCCAATGAAGATAGAGCATGCTTTCTAAGATCGTCAGTGTCAATAGATCTGAATCATATTGTTTTATAATGAATTATGGACCTGATCAGAGGAATCCATATTTGATAAAATATAGTCTGGTTAAAAGTTGAATGTGCATAGGAGTAAAAGTAGGTTTTTGTTTCTATGAGGATTTTCCTGTTATATGTGTGTTCACATTCCAGACTGAGAATTTTGTGCCTCAAATTACTCCAATGTTTACTTTCTCAAATCTTTGAACAGTCCCATGCTGGGAAAGTTGTGGAGAGGCACTGGTACGAAAAGAACAAGCATATCTTCCCTGCTTCTAGATGGGAGGTAATTTCTCTCTCGCCTCTTCGCCACCACGTTTATGGATTTTCAGTATGGTCCTTTAGATCATTCCTGATAGCTTTTTTTTTTCTTTGTTAATGCAGATATATGACCCAACGAAGAAATGGGAGCGTTATACCATCCACGGGGATTAATTAGTGATAGACAAACATATAGTTTTGTATAATTTTGATTTGTATGCTCATGTTATTAGATTTGGGACCAAGTATGAAGGTAACTATAGTCTTTCCTACAATTATTTATAACAAAATCATGGAATGATGCAATGGAAATATGATGATGGAAAGTTTATGGAATTATATAATAATGGACTGACTCTTGAATCGTATCCTACTTCCATTATTGTTATACTGAATTCTAAATCCAGCAGGAGTAAACACAGCTGGCATTTGTGTCTTTCATAGGCGTCAACAGGACTCATTTTGCTAGTTGGTAACCTACTAAAGCGGCCTTAACAAATGAGTAAACGACTTTTTCCCACCCAAGGTTTGCCTTAATGATATTTTCGACCCAAAAGGTTTTAAAATATCACTTTTCGATAGACCTGGCAAAAAGGGTGGGTGGGTGGGTTGGGTACGGGTCAAACGGGTACGTGTCTTTATACGGATCCAATATTTTGGACCCTATACGGGTACGGGTGGACTCGTTTTTTCTCTCTCTAGATTTTAGTTATTACGTTTGACCCCTAATAGTTTTCAATTATGACAATTACACCCTTAAAATTCTAGCAGTTTTAATTTTTTACATTTACACTCCCTAAATCAACTACTCTAAATTGCCCTACATCATGGTTGGCATGTTTTGGACAATTCTGTTGTTTAATACATTGACAAGACATCAAGCATATAGTTCATGTTGTTTAAAGGGCCAATTGATCCAACACCATATTAATATATTAGAATAATTAGGGAATAAAACCGTTTTATTTCGGATCTAAATAGTTGATTTGGTTTTAAATGGAATGGCAAAACATTTGGTGTTTGAGCAATGATGAATATGGAAAATATTTAGTAAAGATGATGTTTATTATTCCAAATATTGAGAACAAATGTGCGAAGATGAATAATGTTGTCCTGCACATTGTGTAAGGTAAAAACTTCACTTGGGAAGGTCTGGATTAGAGAAGAAGTTGCTAATGGATGGCATGATTTGAGGAGCTGTCTGGCGAACAAACTTCCTCAGCCCGTGTTCTGCATATCTCTTATCTTCTTCAAAGTTGTCAAGCACTCCTGCACTTCTCTTCTCTTTCAATAGCCTGATCATATATGTCAAAAACTTATTTAACAAAACTAACCATTAATACGACTGATCAGTAAACCATGCCACATACATATACCTGACTTCAGGGTTGATGCAGATATTCCTGACAAGTTGAAAGCTGCACATGCCAACCGATGTGCCCAATGCTCCAAGGAGTGGATACACCTAACCAAATCAGGATTTTATAACATTTCCTCTCCCAACAACTAAAACCAAATTAAAACTGAATACAATTATAATTTTCTCACTTTTTCACATTTGCTCTCTGTCCAAACAACTCAAACTAGATTAAAACTAAATTAAATTCCAATTTTCTCTCACTTTCTCACATTTTCTTTCTACCCAATTTTGAGATCAAAGCAAGCAACCAACTCACAAGCAATTTAAAAATTCTTTACCAGCAAACATACCCAGAATATAAATTATTCTTGCATTAGGCAGAATCATCTTTCTCAATAGAATTGAAAGGTGAAGGATAAGAAAAATAAACCTGTTAGATCTTCAAGTTCATGAGCACCTACAGCAAACGACAAATTCCATCTTGCACATGAAGAATGGCCTTAGTCTTCCTAAGAACTCTGCACATTCTATAATCATAAACAAAGCATATTAAATTCACAAAATAAAAGAAAGAGGATTAAGTAATTGATTAGTACATCAATCACAATAATGTACCAAAGAAGAAAAAATTTCAGTTTATAATTCTTATTTTCTTCCACTTTCTCAAATTTTCTCTCCGTCAAAATAACTCAACCAAATTAAGAATAAATAAAATTTTCATTTTCTCACGTTTCTTTCCATCTAAACAAGTCAAACAATAAAACAAGTCAAAGTGATCAATATAAAACAAACACACAAAATTAGGGGTTAGGGATTCATTATCAGCCGACGAGGATGAGTGACAGCGACCGGCGACTGTGGTACTGCCGAACTAGGAATGGGAATGACTGACGAAGTGACGAGTGACGAAGTGACGAAGTGACGATTAATCGAAGAAGACTGATGACTGATGAGAGATTGAGAGGCAGGAGAGATTTGAGTTTAGGGAGAGTCTGAGAGATGAGATGTGGTCGCGATCTGAGACTAAGAGATTAGAGATGAGATATTGAGATGAGAGTGAGACTGTGAAAGGGAGGCATGAGCGTGAATGGCTTAAATGAATGCGTGATAAAAAGTAAAAAACTTAGGGATTCAGTGAATAGTGACCAGCAAATACGGGTGCCCACGGGTTCACCCGTATAACCCGTGATTTATTGGACCGGGTACGGGTACGGGTCACAAAAAATGGGTTTAATATATTGGACCCATACCCTATATTTTTTACCCGGGTACGGGCCGACCCGCTGGTCCAGACCCGTTTTGCCAAGTCTACTTTTCGACTCAAAGTTAATATTCCGTTACTATCCAAAGCTGGTTTCAGTGGTGAAAATTCTCTCTGTCACCACTATTTGAACCTCTGGTCTTATCTTTACAAAATTCTTCTTACTCTAGCACTTGATTTTCCATCAATCGGCAATCATCGCAAATCTAAGGTTTTATGTTTTTAGTTGATTTTTTGCTAATTTCGGCGACGAATATTTAATTGGTCATCATTATTCGATCCATCGATCTCAACTCTACAAAAACTTTTTCACTCTGGCTCTTAGTAACTCGCCAAATGTTGGTTAAGAAAGTGAAGTGTATTTTGAGTAGTAACAGAATATAAGCTTTAGGTGGGAAAGTGGTATTTTGAAACCTTTTGGGTGGGGAAGGGTTTATTAAGGCAAACCTTGGGTGGGAAAATGTAGTTTACTCCATAAACAATAAAATGTGCTCTGAAGTTACCTAATTTGGATGAGCATCATATTTGATTTAGCTAATCCTTAGCTTTGTATTGTACCAATTAAACTTGGATCGGCATTTATTGCCCAAAGTTCTATAATCTTTTAAACCTGCATTGGTATTTATATAAAGGTTATTGTAATGCTATCAGGATATAACTGATTTAACTGCCTTGTTGGAATTAGTAATTGTTAATGGGATTTTATAATTATGTATCATTAAAAATTTTATAAANGCTAGTTACCTCCAAAAGTTTGAATAGTTTCCCTCCAATCAAGATAGAGCATGCTTTCTAAGATCGTCAGTGTCAATAGATCTGAATCATATTGTTTTATAATGAATTATGGACCTGATCAGAGGAATCCATATTTGATAAAATATAGTCTGGTTAAAAGTTGAATGTGCATAGGAGTAAAAGTAGGTTTTTGTTTCTATGAGGATTTTCCTGTTATATGTGTGTTCACATTCCAGACTGAGAATTTTGTGCCTCAAATTACTCCAATGTTTACTTTCTCAAATCTTTGAACAGTCCCATGCTGGGAAAGTTGTGGAGAGGCACTGGTACGAAAAGAACAAGCATATCTTCCCTGCTTCTAGATGGGAGGTAATTTCTCTCTCGCCTCTTCGCCACCACGTTTATGGATTTTCAGTATGGTCCTTTAGATCATTCCTGATAGCTTTTTTTTTCTTTGTCAATGCAGATATATGACCCAACGAAGAAATGGGAGCGTTATACCATCCACGGGGATTAATTAGTGATAGACAAACATATAGTTTTGTATAATTTTGATTTGTATGCTCATGTTATTAGATTTGGGACCAAGTATGAAGGTAACTATAGTCTTTCCTACAATTATTTATAACAAAATCATGGAATGATGCAATGGAAATATGATGATGGAAAGTTTATGGAATTATATAATAATGGACTGACTCTTGAATCGTATCCTACTTCCATTATTTTTATACTGAATTCTAAATCCAGCAAGAGTAAACACAGCTGGCATTTGTGTCTTTCATCGGCGTCAACAGGATCTCATTTTGCTAGTTGGTGACCTACTAAAGCGGCCATAAACAATGAGTAAACGACTTTTTTCCACCCAAGGTTTGCCTTAATGACTTTTTCACCCAAAAGGTTTTAAAATATCACTTTTTAACTCCAAAGCTGATTTCGGCGGCGAAAATTCGCCCTGTCACTATCATTTAAATCTCTGGTTTTATCTTTACAAAACCTCTGTTGTTGCAGCACTTGATTTCTCATCGATTGGTAGTCATCGCAAATTTAGGGTTTTTTGTTTTTAGTTGATTTTTTCGGCGGCGAATATTTAATTGGTCATCACCATTCGATCCACTGATCTCAACTCTACAAAAACTCTCTTACTTTGGTTCTTAATACTCGTCAAACGTCGGCTAAGAAATTGAAGTGTATTTTAGGTATAAATAGAATATAAACTTTGGGTGGGAAAATGGTATTTTGAAACCTTTTGGATGGAAAATGGTCATTAGGGCAAACCTTGGGTGGGAAAATGTCGTTTACTCCATAAACAATAAAATGTGCTCTGAAGTTACCTAATTTGGATGAGCATCATATTTGATTAGCTAATCCTTTGCTTTGTATTGTACCAATTAAACTTGGATTGGCATTTATTGCCCAAAGTTCTATAATCTTTTAAACCTGCATTGGTATTTATATAAAGGTTATTGTAATGCTATCAGGATATAACTGATTTAACTGCCTTGTTGGAATTAGTAATTGTTAATGGGATTTTATAATTATGTATCATTAAAAATTTTATAAAAAAATATTTTTTTGTCATTTCTAGTATATTCTATATCTATAATATATCTTTTAATACATAATACATCATCAGAAACTCTCCTAAATATATATTTAAAATTTAATTTAAAAAAAAAAAAAAAAGCCAAGAAAAGTATTCTCTGCCACAAGCATTGTAAGCCCTTTAATATCTTGAAATTTTTTGTTTTTAGCATTGTTAAGCCTAATTATCTTGTATTTTTTAAATTTATTTTAATAACCAAAGAAAAAGAAAATTCAAAGATCAAAACGATGCCGTGTCATTGATCCTCCCATGAGTAACCCAATAAATAGGCATTTCGCATTTTTTAGATACAGTACTATTGACCTGAGAAAATCCAACCACCAAAGCTTGGTCTTCTTCAGTGATCGTCTTCAACCGAAGCGCCGTCGTACAGAATATCTCGATGAAGAATTTTAGGGTTCTCTTCCTCGCTCTCCTCCTCCTTGTCTCTCCTCTCCTCCAAGGTTCACTAGCTCCTTTTCTAGATCTAGATCCGTATAAGCACATGCATCGATTCGTTATTTCATCTACCTTTCAATTATGATATTCTGATCTCGTTAGTTCATCAGCTTCAATTTTTTGCCCTTGCATGCTTCTTGTTTTGTACGATTGTTCGATCTGTTCAAATTGTTATATAATTGTTTTGCTTCTATTAATGCAACCTTCTGTTTTTTGATTTATTTATTGTTAACTGATACGTACATGACTTGCATGGGCTCTTTGTAAACGAATTAAAATTGATTCGTTTTCTTTTTTGCTTTTCAAAAGCTAAATGAGTACTCATCGGACGCTAAAGAGTCTTTTAATTGATAATTTTCAGAATAGTGCATGCATTAGATGTCGAGTTGGTAATCATTGCTCGAGAATTTAATTGATGTTGTGCTGAATTTTGATCTGAAGTTGAATTGTTAATGTGATTAATATGCTTGTGAATTGATGGTTGTTTTGTTGGATTAGTGGCTAGGTGTCAGTCGGATTCGGAGGAAGCTGTGGAGACTGTTGAAGGCGGTGATCTTGGGATTGTTGGTGAAGATGCCCCAGAGTTTGTTGATAGTAGTTTTGGCCCAGCTCCAGGAGTTGACACCGTTTGCATTTTCCCTAAGAATAGCGGACGATGTGAGAAATTTATCAATGTTTGCAAATTGATTTATTTGTTTATGATATGGGTAGTATTTTGAGAGAGTTTAATGTGGTTTCTGTTTCTTGTACTGCAGTGGTGACGGCTGGAGAAGAGACTGAACTTCTTGTTGGGGTGAAAAATGATGGTAATTTGATTTATTTTGGTAGTTTTATTGGTGCTTTTTGAAGTGAAAAGTAATGATATGCTATGATGTTTAGGGACTTGATGGTTTGTTGTGTCTTTTTTGGTCCTTTTCCAAGTGAACATGTTTTCATGTCAGTTTGTCCACTTTTTCATTTTTACTTTTATTTTTTCTGTTTTTAAAGAAATAGTTGGAGCTTAGCTTAATTGGCTCTTTGTTTGGAATGACAGCGGAGTCAGTCATGAATGTGATTGCAATTCAGGCCAGTATTCATCTGCCTTTTGATCATAAGCTGCTTGTTCAAAATCTGACTTCACAGGTAATTTCAAGTTTGCTTAAATTTGTGTTCATAATATGAATGTACATCTTCCCTTGTGATTTCTAAATAACTTGCTGTGTTGGTCTAATTGTTGCCTCTTTATAATGGGTATATTGCTTCATTTGTTATTCCTGAAGCAACTGTAGTGACTGTTGAAAAAAACCTAGGTATACCAACTACTTGGTTAAAATGTTTCGTATGCTGTAATATTTGGTGTGTTAATCTAAATTTCAGTCAATTAATATTTGGTTGATATTATACTAGCAATTATGATTTTTTTCATGTCAATTCCTTAAGAGTTCTATGGATTGCAGCAAATCTAATTTGTCTAGGTTTTTATGATTTTCGAGTTTTGTTTGCCCTTTCTGGTTGAAAAGGGTAGTATGCTTTATGTATAAGAAGGTTGATGAGTGGTTGGCAGATTCCTTTGGTTTGATTATTTCACTGTAGTATTCTTTTGTTGTGTGCACATGTAAGTTTTGTAGTGATTTTTGTTAGTGTTTTGTACTTTATGATGATATATCAAGAAAGGTTATGCGTGTAATAGTGTTTAGTTATAGATGTCTGCCTGGCAATGGTTTAATCAAGTAAATCGTTTTGTATTAGGATTAATACTTTCTTGTTCTGTTGGAAATCATGGTATTATCTAAGTTCTCATTGTCATTCTCTTCCCCAGACAACAAAGTTTTTGCAATAGTTTACTTCTAAAAAACCGTTTATGCATCTTTTTGGCTTCTCAACTTTCCAGCATGCTTTTATTATAGCTGCCTTTCACCTATTTTTTTCTTGGTCTTTCATCTTTTTCTTGGTTGGATGGGTTCTCTTCTTTTGGTTAGGGTTACTTTTACTTTATTGTTTTCTTAACCAGTGTTTTTTGGTGCCTTACTGTAGGCCTTTAACAATGCATCTGTCCCAGCTTCAGCTCAAGCTTCATTCCCATACATTTTTGCTGTCAGCAAGTTCTTGCAGGTAATGAATTAGTGTGGGAGTTTATTATGTTCCTTAAATTACATTTCTGCAGGCTTTGAAATCCCTAGAAATTGATGAAAAAAAAAAAAAAAAAAAACATTGTTTTTAAGCTTACCTATTGTATACCTTTTTCGTTTGCAGCCTGGAAATTTTGATCTTGTGGGTTCCATCATTTATGAGATAGACGAGCATCCATACCTAACTACCTTCTATAATGGTACCATTGAAGTTGTGGAGTCTGGTGGTTTCATCAGTGTTGAGTCTGTGTTTCTTTTCAGCCTTGCAGCTGCTCTTCTTGTCTTCGCTGGTTTATGGATCCAGGGTCAAGTAAAGCAATTATCTAAGGTATTTATTTGCCAATACTCAATTACTATCTTAATGTACTCTTTTTCCCTTTATTTGCCAATTTCAATTATCTAAGCTGGGTCGAGAATGTGAACTTTATCCTGATAGAAAATGTTTACTATGGTAGAGTGAATATTCTGATGTTGTATATATCTTTTTTGTTTCTAGGCTCTTTTATGTTTCTTTTTTGTGCAATGATTCTGACTTTTGTTGATCTTTTTGTGGTTTAGAAAACCAAGAAGGCTCCGAAGGTGGAAGTTGGAACAGGAACTACAGATGCCTCAATGGATGAGTGGCTTCAGGTGTGTGGTTTATGCACTATTACCTCTCAAAACCTTTCCCAGTATTTGTTGATATGTTCTTTATACTGTTCTTAATCAGCAGCTTCCCTCCCTTCCTCAGGGAAATGGAGTGGCCAAGTGATGGTTAGAGATTTTGGTCTCAAATGGATCACATCATTCATTTATATCAAACTTTCATCTTAAAGATCAATGACATCGATTTCTGATGTGTTTGTTTTATGCCCATTTCAGGGAACTGCGTATACTCAGTCACTATCCAGCAAATCAAAGAAGAAGAAGTAGACAAATAGTCGTTGCCAAGTTCAGCTGCATGAGGCACTCCGGTGAAGTGCAGACTCTTGTAACTCACACTAGTCATTTTGAAATTTTAAGAGGGTTTATAAGTGAGTAGTTTTGGAAATTTAGGCCAGAAAAGACTTGCCTTGCTGTTGTAGCATGTGGGAGAAAATTTTAGAATATTTATTTTCTTTGGAGATGCTAAAAAAGTTGAGCCATTTTGAAGGGAAACTAACTCTAATTTGAGTAGGAAGAACACAGTTTTCCTGAATCAGAAGAACCTGTCTTAGATCACATTATTCTTTTTCACTTGCATGGATGAATTTACTTCTATTTTGTTTCATTTATTTGATAGGGCATCTCGGTTTCACTTAATGCAGTTAGGAGAAATATCCGATCTGTATCTGCCTTATTGAATTTCTCATGTGTGTAGTAATGGTGGTGGTTTGTGAACTGTTGTGGGATGCCATTCTTTGTCCTTGTTCTTCAATTGAAGATTTAAATTCTCTTCCTTTCAGCCACCCAACTTTGGGAGTATGGATATGGGACTATAATTGCACACTTCCTTTTCGGAAAACGTCTCTTTTTGGGTTTGGTTTATATCACTTTCATAAAGCACATAAATGGTACTTTGGAAATTTATTGTTTATGTAGCGTGGTAATTTTACTCTAAAAAGGATGAGGCCATGTGTCTCAAAAAATTAATTGAATTTCATTTGGTTTAGTTAGATACTTAGATGGGGGACCCAAAGTTTGTTGTAAAGACAAAGTGGTATCCAAAAGGTTTGGAAATGACAAATACTCACTTTTCGTCATGTTTTGTTTGGAATTTCCATCTTCTAAAAGACAAAAATGGTGAAAAGACTGGAATACCCACCGATCTCCATTCCCAACGCGCGCCAACAAGGGTCAGTGTCACTGTTTATCACTGAACTTCACAGAAAAATGTTAAATCCTATCAAAAAATCGATCGATGATGCAAGAGGACTGTGCAAACGGGCTTGGGATGAGAATGAAATTACTATACTGTCTTTCAGCAAACAAAAATCCTTAACAGAATATGACATAAAGTATTTGTTTGTTTATTTCCAAACCTTTTGGATATCAATTTGTCTTTATGCCAAACTTTGGATAGGTGGAAGTCGTTCGGCCATACTTAGATTGATGTAGATGTAGTGGTAGTGTGGTACCACCCCTCATCTCAGATCATTTTAACATTTTTTTTTTTTAACCAGGTGTCTGGGCCAATGAGTAGCAGTTCACAGCCACAATTCCTACTTAAATCACAGATATTCAGATAAGAAATCGAACTTGAAACTATATGTTTATCCACATTATCAATTCATCCTAACTATCTGGATTATGGGTGAATTCACCTAAATTAAAGAGTATACATTGATATCAAATTTCATTAAAAACAAAAAAAGGTATCTAAATCAATCCATGTACAATAGTATAGTTATATATTCCTCAATCAGAAATTCCTTTTCCCCTTATTTTCATCGCCTGGTTGCGGCCATTTAATAATTAGGCCACATCTTGCTGTCTCTTTACACTAAAGAGTCGGCCATCAGAGTGATTGCCAACCATCTATTTAACAGCATCATAAAATAGTTGAATGTCAAAGTGATTATCAATAAGTGCTTTTATGTACACTATTAATATCTTTAAAAGGCTTAAGACCAATTATATATATAGTTTGATCGTGCAACTAATCCCTCGTAAACATGTTCAAAATTATTATTGATATTACATATATTACTACGTATTCTATCTTTTTCTATGAAATGTTTGATATATATATATTTTTTAAACATATATAATCTCTTAATTTTTATAAATACTTTTTTATAATTAATTTTAGAGTAAATAACTTTTCCCACCTAAGGTTTGCCTTAATAAAATTTGCTCACCTAAAAAGTTTCAAAATACCACTTTTTTACTCAAAGTTTATATTCTGTTGATACTGAAAACCGATTCCGCCAGTAAAAATTCTCTCCATCATCACTATTGTTTGAACCTTTGGTCTCCTCTCTACAAAACTCTTCTCACTATGATACCTGATTTCTTGTCGATTGTCAATCATCGTAAAGCTAAGGTTTTATGTTCTTAGCTGATTTTCGGCTAATTCCGTTGACAAATATTCAATCGGTTATTACCATTCGATCCACCAACCTCTACTCTATAAAACTCCTTTTACTTTGACTCATGTTAACTTGTCGAGCATTGGATGAGAAAGTGAAATATATTTTGGGTATTAAGGAAATATAAACTTTGGGTGAAACGGCAAACCTGGGTGGGAAAAAGTCGTTTACTCTTAATTTTAGTCAAATACTATAGAGCAAATAAAGAAACTAGGTCATAATGCATAGTGTAGGGTATACCCTGTCTTTTATGTTGAGCTTTGAAGGGAGTACATATAATAAAATACAATTATCTCAAGCTACTAATATCAGTTGGCCTCACCATAAAATCTCTCACAAAATTAGGTTTGGTCATTAATACCTTTGATTTTATTGATTGAAAACAAAGTATCATGCATCCACAAATTTCTTATACAATTGGNGGGTGGGAAAAAGTCGTTTACTCTTAATTTTAGTCAAATACTATAGAGCAAATAAAGAAACTAGGTCATAATGCATAGTGTAGGGTATACCCTGTCTTTTATGTTGAGCTTTGAAGGGAGTATATATAATAAAATACAATAATCCCAAGCTACTAATATCAGTTGGCCTCACCAAAAATCTCTCAGAAAATTAGGTTTGGTCATTAATACCTTTGATTTGATTGATTGAAAACAAAGTATCATGCATCCACAAATTTCTTATACAATTGGGTTTGGTTATTAAAGAACACAATGGGTTTGTATCTTCTTATTAGTGCACGTAGACCCTCACCCCAACTATAAAATTAATATCAATATGCTAACATACATTGATTTTTCTTTCAATTTATTTGATAATGATCATCACATCCTTAAACTTGATTAATTTTTATGCACAAAAGGGTATTTTCTTTTGCCTCTTTGATATGGGTTGTGTTGCTTTCATGTATTTGGACAATTTTAAAGCTACTCAACCTTAAATTAGACTTGGAATCATCAACATCCCACGTCTTAGTAAATTGAGGATTTTCATTCTTATTGCACTTATTATCAGAAGCAATTATCATTTCATCTAATTTTGTAGCATTTATTATAATATTAAGTTTTTTCACAGATAAATACTATTATGATATATATCACACACCGTTTAACATTGATATCTATTATGACATACACATATAAATACTATTATGATATGTCACATATATTGACGCTATTAAACATTAGAGTTAATGATTTTTTTTTTCTACTTAAATAACGATTTAATGATATTTCTTATTCACAGACTTTTAAAATATCCAAATTTATATTCTGACAGTAAATAAAGATTAAATTCGGTCCATGCTGTTGAGACTTTTAAAGGGGGAGATCGATGATTGTTTTAATAATTAAATCACAATATTTTACATATGGTTTGATATATATTGTACTTTCATTTAATGTTTTTTAGAGGAAGCGAGGAACCTTCCTAAGTTGGATTAATTTATCAAAAAGATATTTAAGTTCTAAAAATTCAAAATTTGAAGTACGAGCCCGGTCTGAAATTCATTGTCGCACCCACTTCCCCTATCGTTAATTTGTGCGTGTGAAATCAGAGGGTCCCACCAAAGCGGACTCATTAGAAGAGTCCGTGAGAATTAACGGAGAGATGGCGCTAAGATTATTCAAAAGTTAACCGAACGCGCCAATATTTTTTTTTTAAATTTAAATTTTTCTTCTTTTTGATATTCCAAAACGGACCCTCAAAGTTCCGTTAAATTACAAACTTGACCGCGTTAATCTCGCCACAATTTCTGACTAATCCTCCACGTCCATTCCCGCTCCTGTCTTTGTGACTGTAGAAAACCATCTCCACTCTCTACGACTTTTACGTACAAAATCCAACGGCCAAAATTTTTATCTTTCGATGAATCCAACGCTGGATGTTTAGGCAAGGAGTGGACATAGCCATCAAAGCGCGTAGGTATGAGTTTGGTTTGGTTTGATGACGCGGTATGAAATCTTACAGCTAAGTGCTCCACGTAATGGAGCATGCTAATCATGTTGCACTGGGAATTCATGGCCTAGCTGGACACAAAATCAAATTACATTACGAGACAATTAATTATATTGGCTTCGCATTTTGGGAATACTATTTTTAGTATTCTCAAAAAAGTTAAATAGTAAAATACCTAAAAACTCACAATATTATTTAATATTATTCAACTTTTTTTAAACCCCTTAAATTTGTTAATTTAATTAAATATCTCTAAATATTTTTTAAAAAATTATAAAAACACCCCAATAATCCATATTTACCAGATTCCGACCACCACTACTAGAAAATGACCTGAATCTGGTAGGATGACGCACTACCGGCTGAATCTAACCGGTAGTGCACCGATCTAGCCTTTTCCGGCCATATCCACGGTGGATCTGGCCGAAAAAGGCCAGATCTAAGGCCAAATATATGGTCGTTGACAGCCAGATCTTTGGCCGTAATCAGTCGGTAACGACGGCCAACAAACGATTATCATTGAACATCAATGACGACCGTTTGTTGGCCGTCGTTGAATAGCAAATACAGCCAAATCTGGTCGTCAATTGCCAGATCTAGCTATAGATCTGGCCTTTGCCAGTGGATCTGATCGAAAAAGGCAATATCGACAAGATCTAACCGGTCATGCACCGATACGACTACTCTGGCCACCCTCCGGCTGTGGTGGCCGGCTGTCCGTATTTGAGGGTGGGTTGGGGGTGTTTTTGTTAACTTTTAATGTTTTATTATAGGGGGTATTTTGTAAAAAAATAAACATAGTGGGTATTTTATTAATTTATAAATCCTATATCGTAATACCCGTCCAATTCAATTTTTTTTTTTTTAACTTTTTTCAAAAAACTTTTCCAAAAAACACAAAATTGTGAACCAAACGAAGCCATTAATTTTAGTTCAATAATTAAATGTTAGTTTCTGTCCTTTCATTGCTTAAAGTTTCAAATTCCTCGATGCTTAACATTCATTAGTTGACCTACCATATTAATTTACTTTAGTTTTTAACAAATTTTTCTTACCATATTTGATAATACTCCCAAAAATTAGTTGAAAAGAGGAAGAGGAATCAGCCAAATATATATATATATTAATAATATATATATAATACTATATATATACTCCCTCCGTTTTTTTTTTAATTGTCGTTTTAAGGGTTTTTAATTTTTTCAAAATAAAAGTTGTTATGTCTTATCTTTTCTCCACTTTTTATCATGCCCACATCTCCTTTGTCTCTCTTTCCATTTTGTCTTGTCCTTTCTCTACTTTTCGCCTCTGTCTCTCTTTAATCTTTATCTTATCTTATCTCTTCCCCTCTTCTCCTCTCTTCCTTATTTTCCATCGCCACTTCTTCTTTCTTTACTCTGTCTTTGCTTCCATCTTTTCTATCTTTTTCTTGTCTTCCTTCTCTATGTTCCTCTCTCCACTTATTTGAAGCACCCTATCGTCTTCAATCTCCACCTTCACTTCCTCTTTCTTGAGCCCTGAAAGATCAGCCTTGAACTCGTGAGCTTCTGGGGTTTCCTTCCAGTCCACATGGGTGTTAACAAAAGCTGAAGTTTCTTGAGGGAGTTGAGAGGAGATTGACGATACAAATGATGGGAAAGGAAAGTCCTTGAATGAGTTACAGACGGCACGGAAAGAGAGGATGTCTACGCGTGTGGCGAGGCCTTTAGCGATGGCGTTGAGGAAAAGTGCGGGGAGAGTGGACCAGTCTGGTTGAGTGGTGTCCATGGGAGAAAAAGGAGAAAATGGGCGTTTGTGGCAGTTGCGTAGTAGATTTGAGTTTAGAAATTTGTGATTTTTTTTTTTTCTTATCAAAATCATTGTCAAAATCAATTTGTGATGTTGTTGCATTATTGTCAAATTTGTGATGTTGTTGCATTATTGTGTTCCGCAAATTGAGGTCCTATAAATACATTAGGCTGTAAACGAGTGAGGGATGAAAAAATTAAAGAACTGGAACAGCATAAAAGAAAATAAACAGATGAAGGAGAAATGCAGAATAAATGAAATACAATAAGACAAAAATATTGAAAATGTTATTTAAATAAGCGGGAAAGTTTCCCACTTTCAAAGTATTCTCCCACCTGCAAAACCAGGGGAAAAAGTTGGTGGGAGAGAGAATTTTTTTTATTAAAACCTGTGCCCACACCAAAAATGACAATTAAAAAAAAAACGGAGGGAATATATCGTAATAGTCACTAAATTGACAATGTTTAACAAACACAAATTCTAAGTTTCTACCACCCTCCCCACACTCGATGTGCATGCTTAGGTAGAGGTGAAAATCGAGTAAAGTTGTTTGATGTGCATGCTTAGGACTTGAGAATGACAGTTGTGTAAACCCTAATCACTCGATTGTCAGTGATTGACGTGGTCGATGGGAGTAGGGTTTGTAGAGTTTTGGTGAGTATAATCGGGGAAGAAAATGATGGTGATGTAGGGTCGTAACGATGTCAGAATTGGAAATGAAATATAAATTTGAATAGTAAAATAGTATTTTAAAAATCTATAGACGAGAAAATGTCATTAAAACGTTATTTGGGTGAGAAAAAGTCATTTAATCTTCAGCATTAATATTGCCATTGGCCATACAACAACTTTCAATAAAAGCTAGGCTCTAACATATCTTTATGAAGACCCACAACATTCAACTCGATTAAATGAAGATAACGGCGTTTACTGAATGATGCCGGTCCCTAACCCTGTCGGTGACTACCTTTTTATTTAAACAATAAATACCTGTCTCTCTCGCCCTTCAACTTCTGTGGATTCTCATTATCACTCATCAGCAGCAGCAGCTGTTTGTGTGTTTTGTTTGTTTATTGTGTTTATTTCTTCTCGGCTCTAAATGCGAATTCTCTCGGCTTCCCGAGAAGCGCTTCTGTGCTTCTTGGTGTCGCTGCTTTTTTCTGCGAGTTTTTGCCATGGCAGCAGTGATGACAAGACAACAACTACATTGTTGTTTGGAGTAGTTGGAACTGGAGAATGTGCAGATTGTTCGGACACTAATTTTAAAACAAGCCAGGCTGTTTCAGGTATAAAACCCCAAAAGAAACGAAATTGATTCGTCTTTTCTTTTTTATTTAGGTTTTTGAAATCCCTTTCTTCAATTCTAATGGCGAAACGGAAATGTGAAAATCTAAATACTTTCCCTGGAATGATGAAATTTACTTATCTGTGTATCGTTCCATTGGATCTTTTAGGTCTTAAAAATTTGGCCATGCATGCATACATGCACGTGAAAATAGTTAAACTTCCATTTGTCCATATTTCTAAATACAGTTCAATCATTACAGAACGAAATGAGAGTCTGAAGTACTCTCTCTTTCTATATTTTGACGCATTAAGATCCAACCCATTCAGGGAAATTTTCAAGTTTCTATACTTTTAAGGTAGATCATTAATGGAGAATTGCTTGTTTTGTATGTGCAGGACTTCGTGTAACTATAGATTGTAAGCCAGAGAATGGAGTGTTTAAAACAAGAGGATCCGGCGAGCTTGATGCAGAAGGGAAGTTCACGGTGTCTCTTCCTCAAGAGATTGTTGAAGATGGAAAACTTAAAGAAGAATGCTATGCACAACTTCACAGTGCATCAGCCGCTCCTTGCCCGGCCCATGACGGCCTAGAATCCTCCAAGATTGTGCTCAAAACAAAAACTAATGGAAAGCATACGTTTGGATTGGCCGGAAAACTCAAGTTTTCTCCAGTTACTTGTACCTCAGCCTTCTTGTGGCCTCATTATAAGTACCCACCACTGCCTAAATATTCACACCCCAAGTTTAATTTGCCGCCTTTGAAGAGCTTTGGCCACCAGCCTTTCCCTTTCCCTCCTAAAGTCTTCCCTCCCAAGCCACCACTACCGTCGCTTCCACCAAAACCACCGCTATTCAAGAAGCCGTTTCCTCCAAAAGTGCTTCCACCACCAGTTCCATATAAGCCACTTCCACCACCTGTGCCAGTAGTTAAGCCGCTTCCCCCACCAGTTCCTATATACAAACCAAAACCAAAACCGCCAATATTTGTTAAGCCACTCCCTCCTCCCATCCCAAAAGTGCTNTTCACGGTGTCTCTTCCTCAAGAGATTGTTGAAGATGGAAAACTTAAAGAAGAATGCTATGCACAACTTCACAGTGCATCAGCCGCTCCTTGCCCTGCCCATGACGGTCTAGAATCCTTCAAGATTGTGTTCAAAAAAAAAACTAATGGAAAGCATACGTTTGGATTGGCCGGAAAACTCAAGTTTTCTCCAGTTACTTGTACCTCAGCCTTCTTGTGGCCTCATTACAAATACCCACCACTGCCTAACAGAGCCGTCTCTAGAACATTTGTGACCCTAGACAGGAGTTACTTTGGGACCATCTAATAATATAAGCATATATTAAAAAAATTATTTCATTTTTTTTGCCTTTTGAGATGAAAAATCACTAGGAGAGGTGGACAGCAATCGGCAGGCTAACAAGATTAGGTTGGTGGGGGGTTTTGGAGAGTAGATATTGGAGAAGTGATGGATGGTGAAATGGGTGATTTCCAATGCCAAGATTGATAAGAAAAGGCTTGAGAAGTCATGGCCCAAAAGGTATCAATGGCCGGCGATTGGCAGAGTAAACGGATAAGGTATGATAAGGGTTTTGGTGAGAGGGCTGAGGGGAGGAAGATGGTGGTGTCGGGGAAGGCCAAAAATGTCGGGTACATGCAAAAAAGGCTGGAAATGGCTGTCGTGTGGTGGAGTTGGGTTGCGAGATTCATCAAAAATTAGTCAAATCGAGGGGTATCAAGGTTGGGAAATGATAAAATGATGATTTCGGTTGATTTTGGTGAGAAAATCGACCGGAACCAAAATTGACCGAAATCAACTCCAAACTACTAGCGGCAAAAGAGGGCTGGAGATGATTTATGTGAATGTCAAATTTTAGGATTGAATTGGGGGTGAGTAATTTGAGATATGTAAATGATTATTTTAGTCTTCCATTATTAAAAGAGATTCAATGTGTTAATTTAGAGGTATAAACTAGAATATATAAAACTAGAGGTACAAACTTGCTGTTTTGTTAAACTTTGGGTGAGGATATATGTAAAAAGTTTATAATAAATTTGGGTTTTTTTGATTTTTTTTTGGGGCCCCTTGACTTAGATAAAAAATTATAAACCATTTTCATTTTTGTAAGATATTAAAAAAAAAAAAAAAATTATAAACAATTTGGACCCCATTTTTTTTGGGGCCCTAGGCAGGTGCCTCACCTGCCTACCACTTAAGGCGGCTCTGCTGCCTAAATATTCACACCCCAAGTTTAATTTGCCGCCTTTGAAGGGCTTTGGCCACCACCCTTTCCCTTTCCCTCCTAAAGTCTTCCCTCCCAAGCCACCGCCATTCAAGCGACATCCCCCAGTTGTTCCTACATATCCACCAAGACCAAGACCACCACCAAGACCAAGATCACCATCAGTTCCTATGTACAAACCAAAACCAAAACCGCCAATATTTATGATTGGGAGAACGACAATGTCCCACCCAAGGTTTGGCGAAACGACCGGTTCCCACCCATCAAGTTTCAAAATGACACTTTCCCACTCACCGTTATGTTCTGTTAGAAAAATCCGTTCCGAAGAAGGGCAGAATGGTCAATTTTACGTGAAGCATCATAAGTCCAAATTTTAAAATTAGGTCCGTGTAAGTTAAGTTTTTCCCTTTTATCTTTTCTTTTCTTTTCCTTTTTTTCTCTTTTTTTTTTTTTTTTTTTAAATTTTTCCTTATCTTTTCTTCGTCATCATCTCTTCCTTCTACGCTGGAGTAAAGGTGGAAAAGTAACCCGCCCGGCCCGGCCCGCGGCGGGTTACTTGTTTTGGCGGGCTGGGCTCAACCCGCCCGCCAACAAACCCGGCCCGCCAATTAAGGGAAAGATGCTGGCCCAGCCCGGCCCGCCAGCCCTAACCCGCCGGGTTAGGCACGGTCCGGGCCGGGTTAGCCCGATTTTGTTTTTTTTTTTTGTGTTTTTGTTTTTTTAATTTATCTTTTCAAATAAATAATTATAAATATAATTGTTTTTAGTTAACTTTTCAAATATCAATAATTCAATTCAATTCAATTTTTTTTTTTGTTAACATTTCAAATATTAATTCAATTTTAATACAATAAAATTGTAATATAAGAAAAATTAGACTTATTCATTTANGATGTGTACTGTGTGCTTTAAAAAATGCTCTCCCATAACACTATTTCAATTATATTTCTCATTATCTTGATCATAATTCTTATATTTTTGCGAAGGTAACAAATCACTCGTGAAAAGGTTTAATGTAATTAAGGTATCTGGATCAGTTTACGCGTACCTTAACTAATTCTGAATTCTTGAGAGAGATTAATGCAGCAACTAGAGGTGGGAGAAATAATCCGAAAACCGAACCGAAAATTAGGTTTTTTTGTAAATTGGTTCGGTTTTCGATTTGTGAAAATTTAAAAACTGGAAATTTTCGGTTCGGTTTTCGATTTGTGAAAATTTAAAAACTGGAAATCCGGTTTGGGATATTTCCCAAACCGGTTTCACCCTATGTATATAAATAAAATATGTTTTAATTTTTTTGCCCTTTTTTTTTCAATCTCTTATTCTCTTCTCCGCCTCCACTCCACTCTCTAGACCCCATCTTCACTTTTCAATATCTCTTATTCTCTTCTCTGCCTCCACTCCACTCTCCAGACTCCATCTTCGCCAGCAGCACCCACACCCACCACCAAATTGAAACTCCAAACCCGTCCATCTGCAATATCGCGAACGTCATTTCGCCGACACACCTCCTGTGACCACCACAACCACCCACTCACCCAGCGACAACCACAGCTGTTGCGCTGTAGTTCCTTAAACTAGGAACAGTGACGATAGTCTACCACAGCTCCAGTTTCCACTGTCGTTCAGATCTTCAATCCTCAACTGCTTGCCTGCTCCATGATCAATAGTTCATCGCCGATTCAGAAACCTAATGCATCTTTTAATTCAACAAGAGATCTAATGAATATTTTAATGGATGCTTCTAATTTTTAGAGGCTCTAATACTATGAATTATTCAAACACTTTACTTAGTTTGATTGTAGTAAATCTAATACTTTATCACCATATTATGTTGAGCAAAAGGTAATTTTGGTTTAGCAGGGCCCTTTTTTTATATTATCTCTATAAAATTTGAGGTGCTTCTGCCATCAGTTTTCAGTTTCGCTAAGCTTTCTTTACTAGGATCATGGTGACCGTTTTCCTATCAATTTTGTTCACATGAATTTGAAAACCGGTTTGAAAATCGGTTAACTGGATAATCGAATCGAATATTCGATACGGTTTAAATTTGGTTTATTCTATAAACCGATCCGGTTTTGGTTTACATTTTTGCCTAAACCGAATAACCGGTTAGGTTTCCAGTTTACCCTATCCGGTTCGGTTAGCCGAATTATCCCACCCCTAGCAGCAACCCACCATTACAACCTTTCACTTTAATCGCAGATACTCAAATGGGGAATCGACTTGAGATCGTGCGTCTATCTATACTATCTATAATTTATCTTAGTCATTTGAGTTGCCCATGGATAGGTACTATAAACATTCACACTTCTTAAGATTTATATCTCACTTATTTAAACACAAAAATTTCTCACAGAAAATGAAAATAAAAGGACGGAAACAATATTTAAATTCTTTTATTTTAAACAAATTAAGAAACAATCAAATTCTTTTACAAATTATACAATTAAAATATTGATTCAAAATTGAAAATTGACTGTTTTAAGCATAATTTAACTTCGAATAATAAGAACAATAAAGCTAGGGACACTGAAAAACCTGCACCGAAATTTTGTACCGACCTACGTGTAACACGCTTCTGATTTTTTTAACAATTTTTTTCTAGTGAACGGCCGTCCATCAAATTTGGACGGCCGTTCACTCACATGGACGCCCGTCCATATTATATGGACGAGCGTCCATATACAAGGGACGGGCGTCCCCATTTAAAGGACGCCCGTCCATAAATAAAATACAATAAAATTTTTTTATAAACATTTGGGACGGGCGTCCATTACGTTTGGACTGGCGTCCATTACGTTTGGACGGGCGTCCATTCATAATGGACGGTTGTCCATTATGAATGGACGCCCGTCCCTTATGTTTGGACGGGCGTCCATACTTAAAAAAAAAAAAAAAAAAAAACTGCTCAACTTCTACACTTTCGCTTCTCTTCTTCTTCTTCTTCTCTGATCATCTAATAACTGCCCACGACTTTTAACTAATCACACTTTTAAGTAAATGCATGTAGATATGCATATGGACCTGTACATCTCCATACTTAATACTGATTAAGACAAGAATACATTATTATTATTATTATTAGCTCGACTTTGCCTTAATCACCATCCCATCCATTATAGATAGCTCGACTTTGCCGCAGTTGCTGGATCTTTTCTGCATCCTTGGACATGAAAACATAAGTTTTTCGTGGAGTGGGAGTTCTTGTATCAATGGAAGGTGGCTCGTCCTCATCTGGGATCACAAAGCTGTCTTGTACAGGCCAAGCAGTTGAGTACTTTTGCTGTTGAGGGTGCTGGTATAGGCTTTGATATTGATGGTTCAGTGGCTTCTTCCTAAAACCTGGAAATATTCCTCTCAAAATTTCCATAGCAGATGATTCAGTGTTGACAAAAAGCTTTGCAAAGGATCCAAAGAAGCCTTCTTCTTGCTTCTTTCTTCTATTCATCCTCCGTAAGAATTAAAGGCGCCTGACTGATTTAGAGCCACTTATTCCTTCAACTCAGCAGAGTAGACAACTGGAGAAAGCTAGTTTCTAGAAAAAAAAAGGAATAGTATGGACGGGCGGCCGTCCATAATTTATGGACGCGTCCTAATGTTTATAAATTTTTTTTATTGTATTTTAATGAGGGACGGACGTCCTTTAAATGGGGACGCCGTCCCTTGTATATGGACGCCCTTCCATATAATATGGATGGTGTCCATGTGAGTGAATGGTCGTCTAAATTTGATGGACGGTAGTTCACTAGAAAAAAATTGTAAAAAAATTTGAGACGCGTTACACGTAGGCCATTACACATTTTCGTGCAGATTTATCAATGTCCGTAGCTTTGTTGTAATAAAATTCCTTGTTAACCTCGTTTTTAAGGTTTAGTGCTTTGGCATGTAACCAAACATAACGCTTCGGGCGCACTTGACCCGTCGATCCGAACCGACGCAGTCCCACCGGCCCAGTCGACTCCGAGTCCAAACAAACAATAACACTCTCAGCCCTCAGGCTCTCCCAATTTGAAAAAGCGCGAAAAATCAAAAAATAATTCTCACTTGATTTTGTTCTTAGGGTTTTAGCTCACAAAATCTC